TGGAAATGTGGTGGCTGATTTTTCAGGTTTTTTGAAAGTGACAGAGGTGAATACTCTAATTACTTTAAAACCTGACAAGAAAATGAACTATATAATTTTGGAAATAGAAACACCTACAAAATAGGAAACTGTCTTAGGAGACTGCTTGGGAGTCATGACTGTAATTTCCAATGCCATTGGTTTAAGTACTGAATTAATGCTTAATAGTAGGAAGAAATCCAATGATGATTTTTGAATTTAAGATATTTTTTTTCCTAGCAAGAAAGGATCATTCCAACTTGAGACTTGGGCATGGTTCAGGCACAAACCCCCGAAATCAGTCTAACTATAGTTAACATTGCCTTAAAACTTAAGTTACTTTGAGTGGTCTTTTTGAAACATGACTAAATTTGGATCAAGTGCAGAAAGTAGTTTGGGGAAAAGAAAATGAATTTAGAACCATAATCATTAAATATTGTTGCTGTCCACTTCAAGAACAGGTATACTGTAAATCTTCAATTTTTAAAATGGGTCAGAGAAATTTAGATGTTACTTTCTCTTGTGCCAGCTCTTTCAGCTACCAGCTGATAATGGCCTTTCTACAATGATCACTATGAGCACCTCAATCCGCAGTATACATAAATTGATTTTCGGCAATAGAAAAATGTATTTTAAAAAAATTAGACATTTTAAAGAAAAAAATAGAAATGTAAAGGGAGTCCCTTCTATCTAAAATATTTTGTGAGCAGAGCAGCAAACAGAAATGGTTAATAAAGAATCCATGTAATTTAAAGCACGGAAGCATGAACAGGCATCCAAAAAGCAAGATTGCAAGGTTAATTTTATAACATGATATTAAAAAAAAACCTGGAAGGATTCCCATCCCTTTAATGGCTGACTGATAAACAGAATTTACTTGGCTATGAATTTTGTGTTATATCTCATCCTCATAAAAGCATCACATGCTATATTCTATTTATGACTCAGACATTGCCTTATGCTAATTGGGTTCAATCAGATTAACTGTGTTTTATTAAACAAGCTGCAGTGGCTTGTTGAGACATACTACTAACCTATTTGGGATGGATTCACATAGTGCCCTAAACCAGAATGAAACCATTTCTTAGCTCCAATTATTCAGGATTTCATAGGAACCCTTTTCAGCCCTATCCCGATATGTGACTGATCTGTCACTTGTAGATTATAGCTGATCCTGAGGATCAAACAGTTATTATAGACCACAGATTTCCTTCTACTGGAGGATAAGGATAAGTCGTGCAGTCTGATTTTGTAATTGTCCAAATGCTAGCTATTTTGTTTTATTTTATTATTTTATTTTGTTATATTTATTATTTATATGCCGCCCACTCCCTACTAGAGCGACTCTGGGTGGCTTATGCTGAAAAAGGGATCTTATTATCGTAATAATAATGTTTCAGTAAATAAATAGATGGATGTTTCTATAAATAAATGAATATCCTGTCCTTCCATTATAAATAGATTGTCTGCTAGCTAAATGGTTTGACTTGGTCTAGAATACCGTATTTTTCGGAGTATAAGACGCACCTACCTTTTTTGGTGAGAAAAAGAAGAAAAAGAAATCTGCCTCTGCCTCTGAGCAATTTTGCCTCCTTGCAGCAAACAGCAAACAGCCTGCTTTACTTTCATTTTCGTTTTCAGCATAGCTTGATTAGCACAAGGGAAAAAAATCTGTTCGAGCAATTTACTTCTTTGCAGCAAGCAGCAGAGCCCTGCACAAAACAGCTGAGAGCAAATCATCTGAGAATTGGGAGGCCAATCCAATCAGCTTGTGCTAATTAGTCTGTGCTAAAGCTGAAAGGAGCTGTTTTTTCTTGCTGTTTGCTTGCAAGGAGGTAACTGCTGTGAGGCAGAGGCCAAAAGGTGGGGGCCAGTGGGTGGGCGGGGCTACATTTGGTGTATAAGACGCATCTAAATTTTCATCCCCTTTTGGGGGGGAAAAGGTGCGTCTTATACTCCGAAAAATACAGTACATACATACATACATACACACCGGTCAACTACTAATCATCCCATCGGGGGTTGTTTTATTTGACATCTTATTACTTTCTTCTATATTTTTGTCTTATACTCTGAAAAATACGGTATGTTCCTAACCCATGTGTATGTCGACACTTGAACTTGTGGCTTAGTAATTGGTCAATTTTATTGAAAATTGTTAAATTGTTAAAAACAGGCACTTCTCTGGGGAAAACTCCAAGGAGCAAAAGTATCTGAAGTGTTCTTGGGAGCGGGCATTTTGAGTTGGCATCAGAGATGCTTGAATAGAGGGCATGATCATAGCTCAGGTCTCAGAACACACCTGCCCAGGTGTCTGGAGAAGATCGGGGTGAGGGATGTGTGTTAAAGATAAAATATGTGCCATGATGCAAACTCCATTCCTTCCATAATTGCACAATTGTGTACTTGTCATGATGCAAATATGAAAGGGCAGAATTTGCGTCAGTCATAGATAACATGATGCATGTGTTGTCATTTTGGTGTTGTGATTAGGAACGGACACCTTTGGTGCCCTGTACAGTGGAGAGAGCTCTCTGCATTACACCCTTGTGTTACTCACCACTCCTGCTAACATAGCTCCATTGGTGTCGTGGCCTAACGCATTATTTCAAACACTGTTCTCTTTTCTCACGTAATAATCTCTACCCCCCTTTTGCTCCTCTTGGTGCCATTTTTCTTTTTATTGTTTTATGACTTTCTTGTTGTGTCTTCCTGTCAGTGTTTCTTTCCTTTCTGTCTCCCATGCCCTTCATCTGCAGAAAGTGATCTTTCCGAGACAGGACGATGTACTCATCTCGTTCCTACCTTTGGCTCACATGTTTGAGAGAGTGATACAGGTAAGAAACTGTCTAGACTGACCAGGCCTTGTGGGGCTCCCTGTTGTGTTTTTTTTTCCAGAGTCAGTGGTCTCCTACATATGAGGATGTACACATTTCCTATTTGCCTTTAGCACACATGTTTGAGCGAATGGTACAGGTAAGGCCTCAGTGTCAGTGGAAGCCAACATTTTCTCCTGCTGAATAATAAAAAAGGGATGACTAGGCAATGGGATGGCCCAGATGTGCTACTAGGTCAGTGTTTTTCAAACCTGGCAATTTTAAGGTGTTTGGACTTCAACAAGCATGCTGGCTAAGGAATTCTGGGAGTTGAAATCCACACATTTTAAAATTGCCAAGATTGAAAAACACTGCACTGAATCGTAGTATAGCATTATAAGAATGACTCGCCTATGTCTGGCTTCACCCATGCCCTATCCTATTCAACTCATGAAAACAAACCATCTCCACAAACTGTGGCTTGAAGCTCTTTCCACTAATTATAGTGACAATTATCCTTAATTTAAGATTCAGAAACATGCTGAATTAGACTTAATTTCCCGACCGGCTCAAGGTTGACTCAGCCTTCCATCTTTCCGAGGTTGGTAAAATGAAGACCCAGATTGTTGAAGGCAATATGCTGACTCTGTAAACTGCTTAGAGACAGCTGTAAAGCACTGTGAAGTGGTATATAAGTCTAAATGCTATTGCTATTAATCTAAAACAGGAGGTGAACTTCTATTTTTTCCCCCTTGAATCTTGGAAGAATATTAAACAGAAACTAGGTTCTTGCATAGTTTATCTATGGTTAAAAATTACATGCAAGTCCTGCCAGTGACTGCTTTAAACCTAAAATTTCAGTTAGTCCAGAAGGTTTATTGTTTTAAAATATATTTTATTGCTTCACTTGGAAAAGCACACTTTTAATTCTCAGTTCTTTTAAAGTTGATTGTTCAAACCTACAACTTACAACTTGTAATGAACTACCTCTCTTCCAAAGATTGTCTTTCCTAAACTTCACAGCTGGTTGTTTGCCCTACAATTAGTGCTGAAATTTTTAATGGAATTTCTTTGCCGAGAGAACTTAAAATATAGAGTGGGTAGTTATCACCCATCACTGCTGGCTTTCTGAGTAAATCAGTATTGCAAGGAAGCAGATTTGGATTCTTTGATAGAATCATCTCCCCCTAATGGTAGAACACAAGACACTTGTTCTGTTATGCACATGACATGGCCAAGACTATTGGATAGGATCTTCTTATCAGGAGTTATTTAATAGTAACTTTGCAGTATCACCTATAAGAAATATGCCTGCGGAGTACTACATGGGTTTTATTTGGAGCCTATTGGGTAAAACAGGAATTAATTTGTTTCTTTTTCCTTCGTTATAGTCTGTAGTGTATTGTCATGGGGGACGAATTGGCTTCTTCCAAGGGGATATTCGCTTGCTATCTGATGACATGAAAGCTCTGCGTCCCACCATCTTTCCTGTTGTACCAAGGCTACTCAACAGAATGTATGATAAGGTACCATTTGTGTTGGCAAATTAAAGGGGGGAAATGATCTTATCTAATATGTTAGGGCTGGATGCTTCTTTCTTTCCTTAAATTCTTTGTCTGCTGCATATTTAACCTTTATGTAAGCCAGCTTACTTACTCAGAATGTTGTACCAGAAATTTGCAGTGGAATAGTACTTTCCATTTAAATGTATTTAACTACCCAACTGCTTGTTAAGTTGGATGGTATTTTTATGAACAAAAGAAACGCAAAGTATTTTATCTGCTGTTTGAAAATTGATTTTGTTTAAGAATGAGTTTGGCCTCTGGAAAAATCTATCACGTAAGAGAAAGAACCATCAGAATAATTATAATAAAAAGAATTTTAGGAAGAACAATTACTAGAATGAAATTAATTCATATAAGAATTTGTCCACTTGAATCACTCTGTTAATTGAGAAGGCTGGACTAATGTATCTGGTATATGGATACTATAGTCTAAAGGACTGCTACAGTTTTGTTCCAAAACTACTCCTGTGTCTTTTTAAAATACATAAGAAACAGTCTAATTATTATAATATTGGAATAGGTGTGTAGTATGAGGTGCTCTTCTGTCTGATAGCAAGTGAAATAAAGTTGGTTCTTCTTTTCCTATGTAAAAAGAATCCTATTCAGTAAAATGTGTTTTATTTTCAGCTATTTTTTTAGCCTTATAATTTCTAGCAAGTGTCAAATTTATGTTCTTTCTCTATATTGCATTCTCATGTTCTCCATCACCTCCATTCTCACAAACCTGTTTACCTATCTTAATGACAGCAGATTTTGCTGAAATGAGGAACAATTTCTTGCTAAATTCTGATCGCTCACATTTTGCAAATTGTCTTTGCTTGCAAAGAAGAAGGAGAAATCCCCAAAACGTTGTCATATCTTGTTCTCTCCATTCTTCTTGATCAGTACTGGTGTAATCAGTCACTATGCTGATGGTAGAACTGGAAGACAGAAAATAAGGGTAAATAATATGATGTGTAGTTGGAAAATAACCAGTAAAACATTAACCACCACACAGTGCCATAGAATTAAAGACAATAGATAAAGTGCCAAAAAAACCTGTGCAATGGCTCAATTTTGTGGCCATCACATCATATCTTCAAATGGACATGTGTGTACATATGCAAGACAGTGGTGGGATTCTACCGGTTCGGACAGGTTCGGGTGAACCATTAGCTCCGACTCTCAGCTGTGAGCGAACCGGTTCTCTCTTTCTTTGAAGTGGGCTCCCTCGCTCACCCACCCCTGCGTTATACTCACCTATATTTCTGCTTCCAAAGGCCAGCTGATTGGTGTGGCAGAGTGGATTGCCGCTCCTCAGCTGTTTTCCTTGCTCTCGGCAACGTGGAAGTTCAATTTTCTGCAAACTGTGCATGTGCACGCAGCGCGCACCTAGCGCACACGCTCAGCGAACTGGTTGTTAAACCAGTAGGATCCCACCACTGATGCAAGAGTCTGCCAAATCGTTTTTTTTTTTTTAATGCTCCTATACAGAAGTCAAACTGTGTCCAGCCTGGCTATTATGTTAAGTGAGATTTTCAATTTCTATAGATTCCTGTTAATAATGAATTCGATGCATAGAATGGAAAGGAGAATGTGAACATGCAGTCATGGGGTTGATTGGTGCCATGAGACCCCTCCCTTTGCCTATGTGAACTAATTTTAACAAGGTTTAGTTATTCTTGCCTCTGTCAATTTTTAAATATCATTTTAATTGTAAAATTTTGAAACTTAACCCTTTTAATTTTTATATTTATATTTTGATGTTTTATTGTATACCACCCAGAATCCCTCTTTGAGGAGATGGGACGTTCAGAAATTAGATAGATATATAGATGATAGATAAATAGATAGATAGATGATAGATAGATAGATAGATAGATAGATAGATAGATAGATAGATAGATAGATAGATAGATAGATAGAAAGATAGATTAGATAGATTAGATAAAATAATATGAGGGTTGAATCTGGATGTCTCTGTTTCTTCTTACCTGAGATTTACTGTTGCTTACAGGACTTCCAAGAGATCAGGTTTGATTTCTGTGGCCTCTATTGCCCAGGGTTTGAGCTAAGCTTGAGACCCAGAGGCTCGAGTTTTTCTATTTTACAAAAAGTGTATTCTTCCCTCCCACACACGCTTGTCTAAATGTTATCTGCAATATAAAATATTAAATATGTATGTAGAGCACAATTAGTAGCTCAGGAAGAGCTCTCTCTCTCTACTTGTGCCTCTATAGGAGCATGCTGGCAGTCTTCTGGCTAGCACTATAGGCTGACTGGACTGTGCCCACCTGCATCCTTATAAGGGGATGGGGAATAACACTGAAATCTGTGATGGTGGAGTCACCAGCAATGTTTGGGTGTGTTTTATTAGTGATGCCGTACTGTTTTTGTTTTTTTTTGTCACGTGGTGTCCACTCATGCACAAGGATTTCTGCGCATGCGCAGAGGCTTTAAATCATCGCAAAATAGCGACGTCATGACATCCACATGGGTGGGTGGAGCCTCCCGCAGCCGCTACTACCGGTTGGCCTGAGCTGTATAGAACCGGCTGAATTTCACTCCTGTTCCAATGGATGTCTAAGGAAACTTTCTGCTTTCATCAGAATGACAAAAGCAGCATTGTGTTGCTAGCTCAATCCATACAGGCATCTATGGGACATCATGACAAAGGACCAAAAGGGGTGGGTCTTGTATTGGGACAGCAGAATACCGCATTTGTCAACCCTTTGGTGTACCACTTAAGGTTTTAAGCAGCAAGGTACTTAGGATAATTGAGAAAATATTTTTTATCTACCCCTGCCCAGATTTTGCAAGTATCATTGGATAGTAATAACATCATCACCATCTTTATCAAATGCTATGTCTGATGGATGTTTCTTTGATAACACCCAGGAAGATAGTGGGTTCTCTTACGGCAATTTTTTGACTATCTTCTCTTTGAAATAAAACATATACTCCATTGCAGCTTAGGCTATTGTTCAATATTATTTTAGCCTGCATTTTAATGTACTTGTTATTGCAGTATATTTATATACAGGTAGTCCTCAATTTACAACAGTTCATTTAGTGACTGTTTGAAGTTACAACGGCACTGAAAAAAGTTACTTATGACCGTTTTCATACTTATGATTGTTGCGGCATCCCCATGGACACATGATTTACATTTGGACGCTTGACAACTGACTCACATTTATGATGGTTACAGTGTCCCAGAGTCATGTGATCCCCTTTTGCGACCTTCTGACAAGCAAAGTCAATGGGGAAGCCAGAATCACTTAACAATTTGAGAATTGCACTGATTTATTTAACAACTGTGGCAAAAAAGGTCATGAAATGAGGCAAAACTCACTTAATAAATGTCACACTTAGAAATATGAATTTTGGGCTCAATTGTGGTCATAAATTGAGGACTACCTGTATACAAATACTTATGCATTTGACAGGCAGTATATACCGTATTTTTTGGACTATTAAGACGCACCCCCCCAAAAAAGTGGGTGGAAATGTCGATGCGTCTTATAGACCGAATATGGCCCTGTTTTTTGGCCTCCTGAAACCTTCCCCCCCCCCGCGTCCTGTTTTTTCTAAAAAAGGGGGTGCACAGAAGGTTTGGGAAGCCTGCAGAGTGCTGCTGGGGGCTTGGGAGGGCAAAAACAGGATGCGTGTGGGGTTCGGGAGACCAAAAATGGGGCCACTTTTCACAAAAACAGGCCCATTTCTTGCAAAAATGGGACACGCAGAGGGTTTGGGAGGCCTGCAGAGTGCTCCTGGGGACTGGAGAGGGCAAAAACTGGACCCGCGGAGGCCAAAAACTATTTTTTTCTTGTTTTCTTCTTTGAAATCTAGGTGCGTCTTATACTCCGCTGCATCTTATAGTCCGAAAAATACGGTAGTTTTGTGGGAATGATTAATGCAACATAAATGAAGTTGACTTCAGTTCTTTACTCTTTTTGTTTGTGAAACTGTATATAAAATACGATTTTAATGATTTATCCTGAAGAGTTGGCATAATTGCTGCCTTATGACAGAAATAAAAATAAAGATCAGCCACAATTGGCTTTTAAGAGGTGAAAATTTCTCTGCAGTTACCAGATGCTTTTTTATTCTGTTGCTATAATTTCCCAGATAATTATGTATAACCATGCCAAACTAAACATTAATATCTTAACTTCCATTTAAATTTTAGTTATTTAATTTCCTTGTAGAATGAAGATAAATAGAGCATAATTCAAACAATAATAGATTAGCCTTTTCCTAATAGCTTTATGGCACAGCTACTATTGAGTCCAGAAATTGTATATGACTAATGACAATTGTGAGAGTCAGTATAGTCTAGTGATTAAGGCATCAGGAGATGCCATGAGTTCTAGTCCTGCCAGCTGAGTCACTTTGGGCCAGTCACTTTCTCTCAGCCCTAGAAAGGGGGCAATGACAACCACTTCTTTAAAAAAATTGCCACGAAAACTGTGTGCATTTGTCCACAAAGTTCCTGAGAATTGGATACAGGTTTTTTTTGGGGGGGGGGGGGGAGAATTGGATACAATTGAATCAAAGGGGAAAAGAAGACATTTGTAGAGTCATGTCTGCTTATACAAGTAATACATTTGCTTCTTGACAATTTTTTTTTCTGTGAAAGTAACATTTCCTTGCCTTTCTCCTTGTTCTTTTACACCTCTTTGTAGATTTTTAGTCAAGCAGACACTCCTGTGAAACGCTGGCTTCTTGAATTTGCTGCTAATCGTAAAAAAGCAGAAGTTCAAAGTGGAATCGTTAGAAATAACAGTGTGTGGGATATATTATTCTTTAACAAAATACAGGTAAGGCTTTATTAAAAACTAGATCTTGTGAGAGTCACTCACAATAGGGATGCAATTTACCCTGAATGTGTCTCAAGGCATTTAAAAAGGCTAGCTTAAATGTAGGGATGAATTCATATACTGAATTCAGATGTGATAAAAATGGGAAAATAGCTTGGTTATAATCAAGTTATTTTTTTCCTTTGGTGCAAACTTGTTGAACAGTGTTGCCTCTGGGGGAGAGGGGCACCCATACTCTATGGAAGCACCTTGTAATGAGGGTATTGGAGAGTTAGTCAACATAACTAATTTCACAGAAGTAACCATTCAAGTTAAATAAGTCTTCTATTTGTAAGCAAGGCCTAAATATTTCAAACCAGAAAAGAAAAGGGAATATTTGTTTGTATTTTTAAACCTGTTCAATTATTGAGATCAGTACTAGAGGTGCTTTAGAAGACGCCTCAGCTGCCCCAAAATAGCTGTGAGCGCAGAAAAGGGCTTTGAGGTCCTATATAGACCTCAAATTCTGGAATATTCCCCCAAGGAAAGTGGATTTAGCCCTCATTTCCCCAGTATTTAGGAAAGTGGCAAGACTCACTCCCTGTATTAAGATTCATGTTGAGTATGTTGATTTTAATTGTATTGATTTTATTGTCATATGCTAAAACAATGGGATTTATATAGACAGCTATGTAAATCTGAGGCCATTTAAGCATAATAAATCTTCCTTAAATCAGAACTAAAGTAGAAACGTGCAGGAATTTGCTATGGGAGGAAGGAGATTTTCCATTTTTAAAAAAATTGCCCTTCTTTTCCCATTCCCCAAATATTTATCCTGGTGGATTGCTTAGCTACTTTACTTTTCTCTTTGTTTCTTTTTATTTATTTGAATTGTGTGCGGCAAGATTTGAGTTATTATTGATCCTTTTCGGCAGATTAGGGGATGTTAATAACAGTACTGGAGAATGAAGATTGGAAAGTACATTAAGTCCTGAAATACAGTACACATATTTAAATCGTCTTTGAATCTCATTAAAAAATGGGTCCCTTCATGATTTCAACTATACCCCGCTAATCTAAACAATATATAGTAACTGCTTTCCCTACTTCTTGTTTTCTTTGGGAACTGAGCTCTTTCC